GGACTCAGCATGTAACACCTTGACACCCGCTAATTCATTTACCCTTAATGCTCCCCGTGATGAGATGGGGGCATCATCTGTTCTACAGACCAGAGAATGGGGGTGAAAGCCCGAGCTGCTGGCTCAGGCACTTCACGATTGACTGGAACCCTGCCAGGCCTGCCCAACCTGAGACGCCCTCCTCGGGTCTGCAGTGCTGCTTCTCCATAGGGCAATAAGGTGGGGGCGTAAGCAGCCAGACGGTGTGGAGGGTCAGAAGCACACGGATGAACTTCAAGCAGGGCTCACGATGGAGAGCAGGAAGAACGAAGCTGGACAGGTGGCCAGAATGCAAAGGTTTCTTCTGTGCTTGCTGGCACTCACATGACATGAGCCCAGGTCCACCGGTGTTGGGGAAGGTCCTTGAGAGGCCATGATAGCCAGCTGCCCTGTGAGCTGAATGCCAGGAATCAGAGGCTACATGCCCTCACCCCATCCTTGGAATGTGGGTTCCGCTTGCCTCCCCCGCTCCCAGAGGCTGTCTCAAGGACAGGGCTTTGAGATAGTGTGCGGTGTTGAGACCATCTGGATGGTGTACGCGACTAAACCCAGTTAAGGCCTCTATAAAAATGTTACAATTTGGTGGGTGGGTGTGGGGATCTACTCGTGTACCAGCCACCCAAGACAGGCCAGGTATTATTCCTTGCTTATTACCCCTAGCCCCCTGCAGTGGCTTGCCTCTTTCTTTGGTCTCTCCCTGTCCTCCAAGTATGGGGGCAGGTTTCAGACCACATCTGGGCAGCTTTTGAGGAGCTGAGACTCACAGGCTTTGTTCAACAGACCCGTGCCTCCCCTTCTATCAGGGGAGGGAGGGCTCTAAAGCCCCATGGACCAGGAGCTCAAAGACAAAGCAGAACCCAGGCAGCAGCGACACCAGCTCACGGGCGCTGGGGGGCAGGAGGGCTCAGCCTCAATTATTTACCTCTGTTTTCCAATGGACAGAGATAACTTAAATCCACAGGAAAACTCCCAAAGACATTTTAGTCTACATTTACTGAGGCCATGGTATGTCTTAGAGCGTAAGTTCACTTCTTTGCCAAAATACACTGAGGCAGGTGCTAGCATCACCCTCACTTAAGATGACAGACCAAGAGCCAAGGGCCTATGTGTAGAAAGTGCTGGAACAGGGATTTCAACTTCAGTGATCTCGCTACAGATTCTGCTGTTTAACAACTACTCTTTGGCTGGAGAGAACAGTTAAAACTGTGTCACTTTCTATTTCTGTACCTTTCAATCAGGTTGATTTTGGCCTGCAGGGCATTAGCTCCACGGAATACATCCCGACCATTTGTCATCCTCTTGGTTAGAACTTCTGTCCTGTGTTAAAGGAAAGAAAAACACAGTTTACTTTTGGAGGTGAAGTTTCCATTAAAACATCCTGCATTTTTCTCATCTAAATTACCTTTATTCAGAACCGCTTTTTAACATTTGCAACATACCACTGTTAACATTTACCACCATTGAGGATACACCTATTTTTAAAGAAAAGTGGGAAAAGATAAATAAAACGACAGTAAGTTGATAGTTATTGAAACTAGATGAGGGATACAAGGAGTTCTAAGTCTGTGTGTGTCATAAAATTCCCATAATAAAAATTTTAAAGGAGTGGGTCGGGGGGGTGGGGCACAGAAAAAGCCTATTAGCAGGTGCTAAGGACACTGCGTAAACTCAATTTATTTTATTTTTGATTGTTTATTAGACAGAAGGACATCGTGCTCATTACCATTACTAGCTGTTGGGACACAAAGTAAGACAAATTTAGTGAAGTGATAAATGATTTGATGATCCCTCCAAGACCCAAAGCTGGCAGCTGAAGGAGAGGGTTCCCCGGAGTTCCTGATGAGAGCAACCGCCCCACTGCAGGTGCTGTCGAAGTGCTTATCCTGACTAGCAAAATGCGTCACGACCTGATGGGCAGATCACCAGCCGCTACATTCACATCCTTGATAAGGGATTCACGGGACACACACAGGTAACTGACACTTGTTCTGGCTAATAGCCATCTGTGGTCGCTGGTTTGAAGTGGATCCCTTGAGGTCATTTCAGTGTCACAGAAGTAAATATATGGTCAAGCTTCAGGTTTCCTACTTTTTCCTTCAAATTCAAAGGGAGTCATTCACACCACCTTCATTGTGCTGACTCTGGTGCAGAGCTATCCCCTCATCATCTCCCTTTGGAAACAGATACGTCATCCCCCGGTTGAGGCTTATAACTCATTCCTATTTTTAATCTAAATACAGGAGTAGAAAGGGCTCTGGTCCCTCCATATTATACACCTTCCCTCCCCAAACATTATCTGTTCTTTGGAGTTTATTTCCCTGAGTGTAGTCCTCTATTCAACTAAGCAAATATTCTACAGAAGAATTGGAAGGCATGTATATAATGAACAGCATGATCTAGGAGTTTGCTTTGAACACTAAATAGGCCTACTCCAGATTTCATTCTCGTCTGATATTCAAGATGACCGAGCTCCCCTTGTGTCCGAGACATGGGTCATGAGCTACAGAACCGCTGCTCGAGGTGTCATGTGACGGCTGCACATCCAGCTCAGAGACCCTCCAGGGCAAAGAGTAGGCAGCAAGATCAGGGCTGCATGTACGTCTGTGTGATGAATGCAGAGAGAAGTTCTAAGAGGAAGAGTGTGACTGGCTCCCTTTAGATGAAAACAGCGGAACTGCTGACTGAGCCAAAGTAAAAAGGCAGAACTATTACTGATCACTATGCTTTCATTTCTCTCTTGAGTGTTAGTTTTATATTTATTTTTTAAGCTGCAAAACAGATAACTACCTTGTTTTGTTAAAGACTTAGAAAGGGACAGAGTGAAGAAACTGTAAGTCAATATTCAGTACTAGAAAAGTTCAAGTTCTTTATGAGGAAGTCGTACAATGAACTGGGGCTAGGTAAGTGCTAACTTGACTCATATACTGATACTGAGGTAGCTGGAGCACTGGGTCAGAGGTGGTCATTCTTGACATGTGAGGCTTTGCACATGCAAGTCGCACAGACCTTCTTAGCAACCTTGCCAATCTACCCACTCTATAGAAATTACTGAGAGAGAGAGAGAGAGAGAGAGAGAGAGAGAGAGAGAGAGAGAGAGAGAATATCTATTGAAACTTAGGAAGCCTTAAAACTTACCACTTACTTTTACACTGCATCCAATTTCTGGTTTCTACTATAGCTTCTACTTCTACCCAAGATATGCCCTTGTAGAGTTTTTCCCGAACAATTGACAGGCAGCCTTCAGGATTTTCTTGGAGTCTAGAATCCACCTCTTTTAACTCCTGGGGAGTCATTTTCTTTAGAATCACTTCTTCAACAGCCTTGATGAGTTTCTGGGTTTCTGTCTTACTCCAAGTACCATGATTTTTTTCTATAGACATAAAAAGATGGTTGTATAGTTGCTAATCTATTTGCTTTCGAATACAATATAAAAAACAAAATGGTAACAATAGATAACATGTCATTATACATTTGTCCAAACCTACAGACTGTATAACACCAANGCTAGGTAAGTGCTAACTTGACTCATATACTGATACTGAGGTAGCTGGAGCACTGGGTCAGAGGTGGTCATTCTTGACATGTGAGGCTTTGCACATGCAAGTCGCACAGACCTTCTTAGCAACCTTGCCAATCTACCCACTCTATAGAAATTACTGAGAGAGAGAGAGAGAGAGAGAGAGAGAGAGAGAGAGAGAGAGAATATCTATTGAAACTTAGGAAGCCTTAAAACTTACCACTTACTTTTACACTGCATCCAATTTCTGGTTTCTACTATAGCTTCTACTTCTACCCAAGATATGCCCTTGTAGAGTTTTTCCCGAACAATTGACAGGCAGCCTTCAGGATTTTCTTGGAGTCTAGAATCCACCTCTTTTAACTCCTGGGGAGTCATTTTCTTTAGAATCACTTCTTCAACAGCCTTGATGAGTTTCTGGGTTTCTGTCTTACTCCAAGTACCATGATTTTTTTCTATAGACATAAAAAGATGGTTGTATAGTTGCTAATCTATTTGCTTTCGAATACAATATAAAAAACAAAATGGTAACAATAGATAACATGTCATTATACATTTGTCCAAACCTACAGACTGTATAACACCAACCAGGAACCTAACATAAAAACTACAGATCCTGAGGGATGTGCCAATGTAGATTCATGGCACCATCTGGTGAGGGACGCTGGTGATGAGAGAGGGTTGTGCACGCATGGGGGCAAGAAATACGGGAAATCTCTGTACCTTCCTTTCAATTTTACTGTGAGCCCAAAATGGCTCTAAAAAAGATAAAGAGTTAAAGGCAAATTAGACGCATTTCAGAAGACAATGGGCAACATCTCAATTACAAACAGTTGATAAAATTATCAAACAGTTACATGCAAATTAAAATGAAACCATCGAAGTGGACATTCTTTGCAAGAACCAATATCAGAAAAGTCCTTTCTTAAAGCAACATATTTTCTTTTAACTTCAAAGAAGTTGTCCTGTTTCTGACAGCAGTATCTCCTGCATGACACCGTGAGGTTCTCAAATATTTAATGGGAAAAAAAGAACTAAATGACTTTTATGTTACATACCTAATTCTCCCCAAGAGTTCCCAGTTGAATTAAGAGCTGCAATGACATGCTCGCAGGAGTGGGCAGTGGAGACACCTGAATTTAAGCCAATCACCTGGGGAAGGTGTCAAATGAATCTGTGGTTCATCCTTGTCTAGATGTTCAGTCATACTAAGGAAGAGGCCTCCAACCACAGCCTATAATTATCTTTGGTTTGGCTTTAAGAGTGTCATTTTCCACTCAATAACAATTTGGATGAACAGTTAAAAAGCAAGAGTTCAAAAAATAAAAGTCTAGATTTCATACACACACACACACACACACACACACACACACGAGTCTCTCTCCCCTTCTCCAGATCCGGGCTTTAATTCTCAGAAACCAGAAGAACTGGCCATGCTGAGTCTTTGCATGCACCAGTGGCCGGAGCTGGCAGCATGAAGGCGTGATCTCCAGCTGACCCCAGAGCCTACCACACGCCAGCCATGCAGATGCCCGGCTGCATAGCCTGCTGCATGCTCTGCCCATGTGCCGAGAGCAGGGGAGCCCTGCCTAACAGCAACACTGACCAAAGACCGTCTCCTTAAAGCAACTGACAGTTTTTATTGTGAAGAATAAACTTCATATATATAAACTTCTTTATGAAAGGGGGGAAAAGGAGACCATTAAATCCCTGCTCAACAGGCCAGCTGCACCGCACCCCAGCCCATCTCCCTTGCTGCATCGAGGAAGAGACCTTCCCCACCCAGGTTCTCCCACACAGTGGCTTCCGTGGGTATCAGTCAACTTGGCAGTTATAGTCCTGCTGAAAGCTACTGAACTGAGGTGCAGTAGAAACCAATCATGTGAATAAGGACAGCACAGTTTAATAAATGCACACGAGGAAATGACAGGAACCAGCATGCAGAATGGCTCAGGCAACGAGGGCACTCACTCAGAGGACTGGCCTGTGAATGCCTGGGCACCAGCTTGTCGCAGGCTAGTGAGGCCTGCCAGGCTCATTCATTCCCCAGGCAGGCCCCGGAGCCCAGACTTACCGCTGCTGATCTGGGAGAACTTCAAGGCAACGGAGAGGCTGCTTCGCGCCACCATCTCCCCGATCTTTTTCCAATCATTCCCATGGAGGGCCTGGTATATCTTTAACTTCTTCGTATCTCCTTTGCTGTACCTAAGAGAAAGAGAAAACATTACAAGTTTGAATTAACTGCAAGGTTAGAAACTGTATTCTCATGCTATACACTGCAGTCCTGGAAAAAGGTGAATGGGTGGGCCATCAGGAAAGACCAACCAGAGCTCCTGCCACTTCCTATCTTGGCATTTCAACTGTGGTCACCCTGTAAGCCAAGCACTGCAGTCCGTGGCTAGGGGCCTGGCTCAGCAGCCAGACCAAATAACTGGATAGTATCACTCCCCATTCAAATCCCTGAAAGGGTTTCAGGCACAATACAAGTCAAACTTCTGAATGTGCCCACAAAGCCTGGCATTCCCTACCGTTCAGCCCCGCCAGCCTTTTAGGCCCGTCTCAGCTCAGAGCCTCTGTGCGGGTAGTGGAAATGGCCTTCCTCCACCCCACCTGGACAGCTCCTGCAAGGTCTTCAGATGCAGCGTACGTGGCGGACCCTCAGTGAGGACCCTGAGCTCAAGGCCCCTGTTGGTCCCTCTAGAGAACACTCAGCTTCTGTCACTGGACTTCGTGTTGGCTTGTAATTATATACATTTAGGGTTTCCCTTGTTTACCTGTCTCTTCCTCTAGACCAGCTTTGTCCAACAGAAATACAAGGTGGGACACACACGTCAGTCAAGTTTTTCTAGTGGTCACATGAATATTAACTTAATTAATTAGCTTAATAATATATGCATTTAAACCAATAAATTTAAAAGGCAATCATTCCAAAATGTAGTCAGTTACCCAAAAGTATTAGTGAGATATTATGCACTCTTTCTTTAAACCAAGCCTTCTGGATCCAGGGTATATTTAACACATAATACAGCACATCTCAGTTTGGACTGACTCCACTTCAAGTGCTCAACAGCCAAGTGAGGTTGTTGATCACTGTGACGGACAGCACAGCCCCGGAGGGGAAGCCCTACAAGGGCAGGGACCTGTCGGTTTTCTACACTATGGGATCTGTGATGCTTGCCAGACAACAGGCGTGCAGTAAATGTGACAAATGGCTTGACACAAATATACAATTATTGAAGGAATTTAGGGTGCAGTAATCCCATGTAAAAACAAATATATTAAAGATAAGAACTGAAAGAGCACTAGAACATAAATGGGTTTTGAAATGAATCGCCTTAAATGTTTAAGTGAAGAAAAACAATCGGTATGACACTGTGCAATCCCTGGGGGTGCGGAGTGGAGGTTTTTGTTATTATTAATACAACACAAAAGAGGCCCGAGAAAAACACTAGCCCCCTGTGCTGCCAGCCACCCAGAGCTGCTTCTGCCAGTAAGATCCCAGCACTCTCAGGAATTCACCTAAAAACGCAGTGTAGTAAAACAGAGGCTCGTAATCTTTAACTCTGAAGGACCTACTTTCTGGTAGTTTACTTCTCAAGGGCACTCTTGAAGCAACAGGAAAAGGACACCAGGGAGAAACAGAGCCCAAAAATGAGGAAACGGGCACACAGCCTCTCACAGCCCTCAGGGCCTTCAAATTCTTAGATTTTTGACTTTCTACTGTATTTTACAGTTAAGGAGTCCTAAAATTAGAAAAACAACCCAAGAGTAAGTGGTCATCACAAATAATATGGTACAAACAATGGAATGAACTTTTATTACTACAGTGAGAAACATTCTAAAAAGTTCACTCCCATGCTCACGTCACAGGTAGAAAAATATGTCCCCTCAGCTGCCACCATTTATTTACCAAAAGCGTTCTCTTTAGGCTCATTTCAGATGTCATCATCAGTGTGTGTCCTTAAGTTCTGTCCACAGTGGTCTATCACTGAGGCTTGGAGACACAGTAGGGTGGGCTTCAGTCCTTGGGGACCTTTCCTCTACTTAAGGTTGGTTTCTTTTGGTAAAGATTTAAAAAAAAGAAGCCAAGGTCAAGTCAATGCCTTGGTTTAAGATCATGTAGCTAAGGGTAACCCCGCCGGCCTTGCCACATTTCCTAAATCTGCCTCCCAGAGGGAGACGGAGCGGCTGGGCCATCGGCGATTGCTGTGGGGCCCTCAGAGGCAGGAGCTGCCTGTGTCCTCGAGGAGAGTGATGATCCACAGCTGACACCTGATCTACATTAGTTTTATTTGGAATGTTGGAAAACAAACTATAATTGGGTATCTTATCTGCGGCAAGAGGGAGGAGAGAGTGGTCATCACCCATGAGGCAGGCTGTGCAGACGACGCCACTGAATCAAACTTAAGTGGCCTCCTCCGCATGCTTCCCTCCACCTTGAAGTATTTCTTGCAAATGCAAAGAACCGGGCTCAGGGCTGGCTGGGGAACAGTGCACCGAGAAGGAACGCTTGTGCATGGGATGCTCACAAGTTGGCGCGGAGCAAACTGCACGAGAACAATAAGAGGCACAGTGTGTTGGGCGCTATGATGAAAGTATAAAGAAAAAGGTGAGGATTTAGAAAGGGGAGATCTCAGAAGTTTATTAAAGGGGTGTAAATGGAAAGTGGCCTGGAAGACACACAGCTGGTTTCACACCCACAAACCAGCCTGGTTTCTTTCTTCAAAGCTGTTCTTGCAGACATTCTGCTTTACATTATCAGCACACTAGAGAAATGTTCTGACTTAAGTTGATAAGACTTTTTTTCTTACCTGCCTTTGTAATTATTGACATCGAACATCTTCTTTGCTCGATAGTATACGAGTTTCCAGGGCCGGGCGATGCCCTTCCCTATAGTTAGAAGAAAGGCAGTGAGAGATGCACACAGCCTGGCATGAGACGCACCCACGTCATAGAAGGAGCCCAAGACAGCCCCTTATGATACTAACTATCCCAGACCCCAGGTTCAGACTGGGATTTCACATGTCCTGCAGACTGCTGGCTTAGGGAGTGGATGCACAAAATCACCAGTTTCCCAGGAAATCTCTGAAAACTAGATGCTTAGTACATAGCAGCTCTAGTTTCTAGTCTACTAAATTCATGGAAAAGACCCTCAGAGGGCAGAGTAATTTTAACATAATTTGAATGAAGAGGAAGGGATGCTAAGGTGGAGGACACATGCCAACATTTCTTCATCAGATTAACCAAAACCTTTCCAAATGGGCTTTTCTCTCTTTCCCACTTTAAAGACAGAACAATCCCTCCACAGGGGCTCACTATTCTGTCTACTCTCTTTTCCTTTCTGCATTCCAGGGAACACCTAAGAAATTATCCTCTTTAAATTCAAGAGAGATTTATTTCAGTCCAATCCTAGTTTGCTTCATGAGTTTCTAACATTCTAAGTATACGTCCAGGAAGAGGGTTCCAGGTACAAAGCATGACATGGCTATACTAAAATACATTTCAGAGATCACAGGGCGTGTAAGGCTATGTTTTGTGCGGCATACACAGAAATACATAATAAGGAACAGGGAGAGAAATCAAAGCCATAATTATAACCATGTAGGAAAACTAGAAGTTGACCATGTAATTCTTATAAAATCTGTAAAAGCACTATACCTGGGAGACCTGAATGAAGTTCCAAATCGTCAAAAGTACAGGCTGGCAACAAGAGGGACTATTAATCATGGCGGCTGTTAACACATACTTGATGCACTTGATGGGCCGGGCACTGTGCTAAATACTCTGCACGGGTTATCTGTCTACGGAGGCTGAGGATGGGCACAGAGCAAAGCTTACAGTCCTAAACTTACCAATGTGCAATCGAAATGAGTATTTTCTTTTCAAGCTGGTGATCGCAGACTTCTCCCCAGGATATCTGTCTGTGTACAGCAGCTTGTCTGCATTCTCAATTCCCGTCAGGGATAGAAATTCTTGCACATTTTGCTCTAACTGCTTATTTTCCTTTACAGAAAACTTGCCAAATTTAATAGTGACACCTAGGGTTTGGGTGGGAAGAAAAAGGATGTATTGTCAATATGAAAAAAAGCACCCTCCCGCTTGATCTTCAGCCGTGACAACACGGTGGTTCACCAGTTCCTTCCTACTGGGGAGCAGCCCCTGCTTAGGAACTTGACATCGCCTCTCCCAGGCCACACTGGGGAAGTCGGCTTTCCTTCAGGGTTCAGCTCAAGCCACACTCTTTTCCCTAAACCTTCCCTGGTCATCCCATTCCAAAGTGACCTTTTCTGATTCATCTATCTCTTTCTAAAATAGTTTAAAAATATATATATTAAAAAGTAAAATATGTTCATGAAAAATGTGAACAATATTGAAATGGAAGTTTAGGAGAAGGCCCGCCCTTACTCTCCTCTGCCACCCCACACCCCTGCAGGAGCGCTGTGAGCTGGCCGGCATGAGTGTGAATACCTTTGTGTATTCCTGATGCGTGTTTATGGGGGTGGCGATGTCACTGCCCTTTATGTTCTCCCCCTCCTTGTGACTCAACGCATTTGGTTCACTATGTATTGTGTTACACAGCATATTTTTCTATTCTTAGACTTATTTTTAAAATATCTCATAAAATTTCATCATAGAATATACAAATAAAACTGGATCATTCCATAGATACTGCTCTGTAAATTTTTTTCTTGATTAATTTGTTTTTAAAAACTAATCTCTTCAACATGATCAATTCCATAAGGCTAAGGCCTCTTTTTACTTTTTCCAATGACCAGTGGTACTGGGCCTCACACACTCAGTAAATATTGCTCATTTATAGTACACAGCATTTCATTTGTAATTTATTCATAAATCCAGTAAGCCTCCTAGGAAGTTCCTGTAATAGTGAAATCAAGACTAAGTTGGGTCATGCTTGAAACCATGCCCACGACAACCAGCTTATCCTCAAATTAGTATCACAGGGAAAGAAACTACAACTTGTCGAGGTTGACGATGCCAATACTGGTGTTAGTTTTATTTCACTTCTGTACCCCTCCCAGGGTCTCAGCCATGCACACCCCTCCTCCTCTCCCAGGACTGATCGTTAGTCTGTGGATCACTGGTTTCTTCCACCCCATTCTCCTTGCTGCCTCTACCAGAAGTTGGGCAAAAAACAGGAGAGCCAGAGCAGTGCATTTTGCTAATTTTACAGCTCAGGCCATCATTCTGGAAGGAGATAAAGCTAAAAAGTAGCTGAAGGATGCTTCTTATGAATCTATAAATACGCATCATTCACAAAAGTCAGGGGCTAGTTATGCACACAGGAAAGTTCAACAAAGATTAAAGTGCCACAAGCTCACCCTGTGCTTTAAACTCTTTAAACCGTCCCAAGTCATCCCGGTACATTCGCTTGATTGTTGTGGCCGCCCTGTCCTTGATGTCCGGGATGAACTCTTGGAGCTGCCTCACAGCGGAGTCCAAATCCACATCTGGATCGCCTGAAGCTCTAGAATCTTCAGATAAATATTTTGTTGCAGCATCTTCAGCCAGTTCCAAATTGCTTTCTTCTTCATTTGTAGGTTCTAACCTAAGAGCAAAATCTGGATTAATGTTAACAAAAAATCTGCTCTGGTGGCTTTTAAATTGTTTTCTTAGAATGACTCTCACTCTGATACTACAGCATGATCTTGGAGTTGACTCAGTCTGTGATGTCTGAACTCTTTAACTTTCCTAACTTGGATATACCTCAGAGGCAGCCCAGGAAGTAAGTGTGTGGCTCTAAGCCTTATTTCCACCAGGCATTACTTCTTATCTTACTATTTTTAAGATTTTTTGCTTTAGATACTGACTTCCTAATAAACTAAGCTGTCTTCTACCACCATGAAAACTCAAGACCCCCAATGAGTTAAGTTTTATAAATAATGGTTACTAATTAGATAAATCAGTATTCAGGGCTTACATGGTTATAGCTGCTTTGCTACAGTTAAGAATGGCCACATTTTTTCCCTTTGCATACATTTCTATGTATCTATCACTAATTCATCCCCTTTGAGTATATTCAATCATAACAGCTGACCACTCAGATGTGAAACTGAAAAAAACACTATGCATTTGTATGAAACACTATGAAAGGGTCGACAACTTCTGGAAGACCCACAGCCCAAGACAAGTTAAGAACCACAGTCCTAGAACATTGCTACTGCATTTTCAGTGTTCTGAAAATGTCCCCGATAAGATGGCACAGGGGATGACATGAGTGGGCCCATAACTATTATGGGCAGTGCCTCGAGTGTGACCCTCTCCCATTTAACTTCATGTGAAACTTTCAAGACAGGAAAACCTAACAAAAGTGAGAAAGTCAGTGAGTAAAAATGGGGCGAAAATCTGTCCCAAGTCCCAGGAAGTGGTTAAAAAAATTCCTGTATGTATTCACCAGGCAGTTCACTTAAATGATAATTACATAAATAATGACATCTAAATTCCTTCTGTTAGTGAGAACTCTAATTCACGTGTTTTTCCTGCTCTGATTCACTGTAAATTATCTAATCCTTTCTTCTATGTATATGCATATAGACAAAGGTAATTTGGGGGCCTTAAATGCCTTTGAAACTTATTCATAGAATTTCAGGGCTGGAATAGTTCATAGTGAAAATCTAACTGCCTTATTTTACACACAAAGAAAGGAAGCTACCTGCCAAGTTACTTGGTTAAATGTGTACACCTTTTTGTACATTTTACAGTTTCTCTCTTCATGATTCCTACCATTTACTATGGATGCGTAAACAGGTCGCAGGCAGAATTCATGCAAAGACATACAACATCAGAAGGCACGACATTCCCACGTTACCTGTGTGCCTCTTCTGAACAGGCCTGGGTCTTTCCACCGTGTGGCCTGGGTCTCGCACTTTCTTCAGTCAAGGTACCATTCCTGTCCAGTGAGTCAAAGAGCGTGTCCTCCAAGCTCGGACTGAGCACTGAAAAATCAGCCCCCGACGCTGCCACACTTTCAACAGAAGACCTTCGCTTCCTTTTCTTGGTCTTTCTCTTTCTACTGCGGGAGCCCTCACTGCCTTCTGCAGGCCCAACCTCCCCGAGGACCCACATGCCTTCAGAGGGCTCGTCCTCGGGACTCTCGGGTGCGGCCGGGGCCACAAACTCCTGGTTCTTCGAGAATTTTCTCTTCTTCTTTTTCTTCACCTTACTTCTGTGGGCAGATAGTGGGGGCGGTGTGGTTTCGCCCTCCAAGCCCGCAGACAGCAGGGAGTCCTGTTCCTGCGACTCCGGTGGGGCCAGGGTGCAGGTGGCACGCGGGCTCCCCTGCGAGGCGTCGCAGGATGCGGCTTTCCACCGCCGCTTTTTATTCTTTTTCTCCCTAACTTGACCGTGATGTTCTGACTCCTTTTTATGTGACTTAGTAACTGCGTGTGGTCTGTCTGCTTCAGGCTCTTCTGGTGACTTCTGTCCCTTGCTCATGTTAACATAAACAACGTCAACATCTCTCCTAAAATCCTCTGGCATGTACTCAGTATTTTTTTTATCCACCAGGATGTATGAAACACCTGTTTCCCTGTCTACACCCAGAGCACTGTTTCTTCTCTTTTTCTTCTTTTTGGGAACACAGGTGGCCTTTTCGGTCTCATCACAGGCTTCTGATTTCTTCACAGGAGAAGAAACGAAGTGCTGGAAATCCTTTTTCCTTTTTTTACTCTTATTAGTTATTCGTGATGTTTCACTTGCCAGGGGGGACTGTCTGAAACTGTCGCAAGAACGTCTCTGATGTCTGTCCTTATGGACTGAATACTTTTTCTTTTTCTTGTGAAAAGCTGGAGTGTGGATTTCCCATCTGCTTGGTTCTCCTTCCATTTTATTCCTACAGGGAAATTTGAAAACAATGGTTTATTTTTGCAAAGCATTTTAAACGTTGGCCTCAGGAGAAAAAATAAGCAGAGAGAAATGAAACTATAACAAATGACAAGCCTGGAACCATGATTACAAATGTCATGCTATGCTACGTGCACAGGGGGCTCAAGGTGCTTCAGTATCCAGTCCCATCACCTTTCTGGCAGGGAAAAGCAGTTAACAGGGAAAAACTGTGGCCTGCATGCTCAGGTCCTTGTTCCCACCACAGCTGCATCTCCGGACTTTCCTCCCAACTCTGCTCCAGCCACACATGCCTGGTGCTGGTCTCCCACACAGGCCACAATCTTATCACGGACTCAAGGTCTTATGGCATATGACCCCCTCTGCCTGGAATGCCCTCGGCTGCCTCCCCCCTCTCCCTGCCTCCTCCTTTCATCCTTCAGAGCTTGGCTTAAATATCACTTCTTCAAGAAAGCTTTCCCTAATTAAAAGGATATATACCTGGTGACACCATGTATATTAAATTTAAAACACAAAATGATTTTATGTATCTTTTCTAAATGGATGCAAATGCAGTAAAACTACGACTTAGAGGCATGGGGATTATAACTGGCAAATCCCGGGAGTTGGGACAAGTACAGAGCCCGTTTCTCTGATAGCTATAATCTCTCATTTCTATAATTGGGGTAACGAGCACAGGAGTGTTTGCTATTATTATTATTTTTTTATCTACACTTAACTGAATGCCCAAAATAGTTCTCTTAGGAAACCAGGGGCAGAACAAGGGTACAGATTGCTTAAATCTGTGTTTGAAAACAAGCCACTGAAGAATATAAATATATATCTATTTACAAAAAAAAAAAGAAAGAAAAGGAAGCTTTCCCTGACTCCTTGAGCTTGGTGCCTTCTGCAAATGATATACTTTCATGGTAAACTGTACTTTTTTTGTAGCATTTGGCCCAGCTCTAGTTTAAAAAATAATTATTTAACTAACCATTTAATGTCTGTCTCCTCTGCTAAAAAAAAGGAAACCCCAATAAGGAAGGCACTGTCTGTCTTGTTCCCCTCTGTACTTCCACCATCAGAGTGCAGGACATGCCACTGTCTTCACAGTGGGAGTGTCAAATACCCATTGACCTCAAGCCAGAAGATTACCTCTTTGATTAAAAGGCTGAATGGACCTTGTTAGGGCCAATAAAGAGTCAAAACTCTGCAATAAGTTAGAATGGAGTTTCATAAGGCTCAGGTGTCAATACTCACATACAGGACATGTATTTTTGGAGTTTAAGTACGGTAACAGAAATGTACTTTACAAAAGAGATGATTAAAAACATAATTTTACAGGCATGTCTTATAACCCTCCTTACTCTGAGTTGCACCTGAGTTTCAATTTTTAAGACTTTATTTCTCTTTGACTAGGTAATACATTTACATGACTCAAACATCAAAACAATCTATTCTTTTTTCTCCTCCTTTCTTACACAGAAAGTAGCTGCTATATATTCTGATCAGCATTTTGCTATACAAAAATATGTTCACACAATAAACTATGCAATACTGGAGATCTCTTTGTATCCATAGTCTTTCAGGTCTGTGTGCTAAGCACATTTTCTATAGAAGGCACATAATTTGTTCTAGGAGGGAAGAAGCTTTAAGAATTGGGTAGCTGGAGGAAAGGGGAACATGAATGAGCATGTGGCCTTATACCTACAAACCACATCCCCCAGCTCCAGGACCTCACCTTCAATGGAGGCACCTAAAGCTTGGGTTAATGACCCTAAGGTCATCCAGAGAAGCATGGAAACTCATCTGTGATCTCTTTGAAGTCTCAGCTATCAGCAGGTTGAGAGCTGCAAGTCGACTCTCTGCTCAGAGAGGGCCTAGCAGACTTTGTCTATCTTAAGTGCTGCTGTAGCCTCAGCATCTGGCATGGTGCCTAGCTCATAGAAGGAGCTCAATAAATATTTTTCTTCAAATTAATTAATGCCTTCTCTTTGGCTGCCCTTGAACTGCTAATAGCTGGAGAAAAAACTCACAACTGAGCAGATGGGCACCAGTCTACATTCTTGGCTGCTGACTATAGGTGGGGCCTGAACACCACCCAGTAACCAAACTATATCCCTCCAGATCTGCAATGTCCAATACAGCAGCCACTAGCCACACAAGGCTGCTAAGCACTTAAAATGGGGCCAGGCCAAACTGTGCTCTAAGAGTAAAATACACATTGGACTTCAAAGACTTGGAACAAAGATAGTAAAACAACTCTAATTTTTGTATACTGCCTTCATGTTAAAATAATAATTTGGATATTAGGTTAACTAAAATACATTCCTAATTCCACCTGTTCCTTTTTATGTTTTTTAATGTGGCCACTAGCAAATTCTAAACTATTTGACTTTTTGGACAACACTGCCCCAGACAGCTCACTCTCCCACTTTTCTTGAAATAGTTTCCAATCTCCTAACTCTGAATGAATGGTTAAATTGCATTCTTCCATTTCAGCTGCAGCACCTTAGCTTGCCTATGACTTCACGCTCACACACACAAGACAAGAAATACGTTACCCCAAACCTAACATGCTTGCCCGTGTCTGACCTGTCCTCCTCCCCTCTTGCTCCAACAGAGGAAGTATCCCTTCTGTCAAAGACCATGTCCTCTGGGTGCTGGGTCTCAGTGCCCTCCTGGCTTCTCAGAAAGCTTGGGATCCAGCAGGTAATGCCTCCCAACAGCTCCAGCCTCTCACTGCCCTGGCTCCCTTCTAGCAACCCTCCAGCGATCTTTCATTTCTTCCAGCTTCAAACAAACAAACAGAAAACAAAGATGCTACCATTCTCTAACCCTCAAGTCCCATCAAGCTATTCTCTTTCCTCCCTTTCACGGCAAAATTTCTTAAAAGAGAAACTGCTCCCTCCATTTTTCTGTCCACTTCTTAACCCACTTCCTTGCAGCTTCCACCACTATTCCTCCCCTAAGACTGCTCCAGTAAGAGTGCCTATAACCTTTGAGCCACTAAATTCAACAGATACACACTTGCCAGGCTCATCTTTCAGGACCCCTTAATAACAATGCACAGAGCAAATGATGCCTTTATTCTGTAACCTTCCATCAGTTTCTTTCTTTCTTCCATTTTTGTAAACAGCCCTTAAGCTTCTCCCTCTGGTCTCTGGAAATCAGCACAACCTTTTAAATATGTAGTCACTTCCCGCCAAAACTTTTTGTTTTTCCTCAGTATTATTAAGACAAAGTTCAAAATCCTTACGGACCCTCCGTGCCCTTAATGATCCAATCCATACCTGCCTTTCCACCTCATTTCTCTCTGGGTTTCAAACACCTTGCCTTTTTCATTCAGTGCCTAAAATATACCATGTTCCTTTTCATTCTCAGGGACTTTGCAAAAGCAGCTCATTCTGCCAGGAATGCTCGTCCTCCGTTACCTGAGTGTTAACTGGTCTAACTTTGAAAGTCACTTCCTCAAGAAGGCCTCTCTAATCGCTTAACTAGTCGGGTCTCCCCGATGTGCAGTGTTTCTCAACAAACCTGCTGCTTCCCTATTGCACTTCGCGCGGTTTGACAAGATCGGTCTCCCACGGGGTAGAACCTTGTCGGTCTGGCTCCCAATGATTCCCCTGTGCTCATACACGTGGATAGGCAATTACCCCCGCTTATTCGGAACGTCCCACCTCCCGCCCCCCTAGGACCTGCCCAAGCCTGGATTCTCTCGCCACCTGTGGGCTGCAATGGAGACCTGCTCTTCTCTGCTCTGCTGTGAAAGGCGCTCCGGCTGCGAGGGAGCTACCAGCCGGATGTCTGACTATCCATCCGCTCCTGCCCAAGATCGAAGCCTGGGTTCTTGTGGAACGGCCTGGAGCGGCCGTGCAGGAAGAGACGCCGCCCCAACCCCCGGACTAAAGGCGAGTCCCCGGAGACGACAACCACAGCCACGCTCGATTTTTGTACGCGCATTAAAGAGCCAGAACAACCGAAGGAGTTTCAACCTACCGACCCAAGCACCACTTTTCTCCCAACCCGGAAGCACTGTGTGGAAGCGGAAGTAGTTGTACGTCGCTTCCGGCCCCACTCGGCATCACGCCGCCATGGCAACACTCTGCCGCCGAGGCTGACGTAGGCGTGGTTGCAGGGTGTTTTGTTCCTGGGGTTCGCCGGGAGTGGGTGGGGTTGACTGAGAGAGCAGGACGGGATACCTGATAGGCTTATTAATTCATGCGTGAATTCCACTTTCTCAGCAGGGTATTGTTGAGCTCCAGGAGTGAGCAAGATAGTGAGGTCCCTACCCTGAGACAGATAAATCAACCGAGATACTTTCAGATTATCCTATAAGGAAAATAAAACAGGGTAATGCGATGGAGAGTGACTGGAGACAGTGAGTACTGTTTTAGATGGAAGCGACGTCTCATTGAGGATTGACATTTGGGCTTAGTTCTAAATGAAAAGGGCGAGCAAAAATTCTGATGGGAGATTGTTCCAGGCTAGAAGCAAATAGAAAGGCCCTGAACTTGGCCGCTGGAAAAACTGAAAAAGGTCAGGAGAGCTGGAGCAGTGAATGAAGGAGAGAGTGAAGGAGATGAAGTCAGAGGCAGGCAGGGACGAGATGGTGCAGATCTGATGCACATTCAGCTAGCAGGAGCTTTGGAGTTCTCTTCCAATCCCCCCATTTCAACCAGGTCCTGAAGAAACTTAGTTTATGATAAAATGTAAAGCCTTAACTAGGCCATCAGATCGAGGACAGTATATGTGCCACTCAGACTTTTAGCCTTACTGCATAGTGAACATAACCATGTTGGCAATTAGTTTTCTCATTTAATCCTCTAACAACCCTGTGTTGTAGATATCTATATTAGGTATTATCAGCCTCATCTGCAGATGAGAAAACCAGGGCATAACACAACTTGTCCAAATGGACGTATGTGGCCCACCCCAAGAGTCAAACCTGTGCTCTCTCCGCTGCTCCACTCATTCCTCCACCTGGTTGACTTCCTCTGTGTGAGCTGCCAAGCAGCTCTGATTAAAAAGTGCACAACCTGTATTTCTGTGAAAGTATGGAAGACAAACAGGCTGGAGAAACCATAAGCACATATATACACACATGTCACCACCCAAGGGATGCTACAGTCTGTCTGTCTGGAAATGTGGTGTCGGTGTCCACTGTTGGTATGTAAGGCCTTGAAGAGGAGGTTTGTCATTGGTGCAATTTGCTCCATGGTGAACCCAGAGCCTTGTGGGTATTTGCATGTTTAAGTTTTCATTGTACTCCTCTTTCAACTTCTCTGTGTGAACTTAAAAAAAAATCTGAGGCGGAGGGAGATTTTTTAATTTTTATTTATTTATTTATTTTTTATTTTGGTCTAATTAATATGCAATTACATGAGCAACATTGTGGTTACTAGATTCCCCTCATTATCAAGTCCCCACCACATACCCCATTACAGTCACTCTCCATCAGGAGGGAGATTTTTTTAAATGCAGATTTCCAGACATTCTAATTTGGTGAGTCTGGGTGAGGTCCTGGGAATCTCTATTTTTCCACTTCCCTCCATTCTTTTGAACAAAGTTGGGTGCCATTAATCTCATTCAACTCTATAGGCTTTCCTCCCCACACTTTTCACAGAAGACAAAACTGAGGACCCAAGACATGCCTAACTGGAGATCACCCAGTGGATTTGCAGTAACATCAGCCCCGGAATGAGGATTTCTATTTCCTCAGGAGGGATGTAGCGCTCTATCTCGGGTGTGTGATGCGACTCGGAAAGGAGAAATGAGAAGGGGCAGTGGGGGCGGGAGGTCTGGGGGAAAATAGAACATCTGGGACTCAAGACCCCGGCGCTTTTAGCACAACCCGTGACATTTTGGATTTTCTCAAATTTGTTTAAGAAAACTTACACAGGTCCACTCTGAGAGCCACCAGCAGTTTCCCGCAGGAGAAACCTACCAGAACTGCCGCGGCGCCGTTGGCGTCCCGTCGCCATGGAGACCGGCCGTTCCATTCATCTAAAGGGGTGGCCTCAATTTCCCCTCCTTCTACGATGCGCAGCGTGGCGCCTAGGGACTCGCCGAGGAGCCAGACGAGCTGCTGTAGCGTTTTCGGAATCCATACAGCGGGGCCTCGGCGCTAGGTGGGTGCGCCCCGCTCCGGAGGCGCCCGGCACCCGAGGCCACCCCCGTCAGGATGGTGCGGCCCGACACGGCTGGGGCTCTAGTGAGCCGGGCGCTGGTCCGCTAGCACACAAGCTGGCCGCTCCGGCCAGGGGCGACTTCCCGCCACCCCAGGATGCCAGAGGTCAACAGCTCCTTCCAGGACCCCATGCGATGGACAAAGAAGCAGCAGCAGCCGGTGCGCCGCACTGTCAGCCAGATCTGCCCGCCCGCGCGGCGGCCCCTGACCGTGGCAGACATCCGGCCGGGCATGGAAAACGAGAGGCTGGGGGTCGTGCGGGATTCCATGTTTCAGAACCCGCTCATCGTCAAGGTGAGCCGCTCCCCGCCGCCCGCCCTTGCTCTGGGCGCCTGCGCTACCAGTGGCCTGCGCCGGGTCCGAGAGACGAGGCGTATTCAGCTCTCGTCCGGACACACGGGAGCCCCGCGCGGCCCCGCTGGGGAGTCGCCTCTCTGAGCCTGTTTCCTCATCCTCAAAGTGGGCGTGAATGCGCTCATTACAAGGAGCGATAGGCAGTTGGGATGGGGTCTTGCCCGCGGGCCCCCTGCACAGCGCCCGGCCGTTGTTGGCACTTGCCGTCTACCCACGAGACCGCTAGTGAACCCCCCAGTGGCCGACTGTGTGCTTGCTCACGACCCCGCCAGCCCTCGCAGGCTCAGCCACTCGCTCCCGTTTCCTGCTCCCTGAGCTGCACTCTGCAGCAAGCGTCCTGCATCCCTCTGCAAGCACCACCGCAACACGCTGATGCCCAGCCGTCACGCTCTTTAGAGTTACCACCCTACAAGAAAAAAAGCGCGAGTCTCTGCCCTAGGACGCCCGCAGGCACCAGTGAGGGAGCTGAGGTTTCGAACTAGATCGCCTCCTCTTAGTGCATGCTCCCTCGGATTGGTCTCTTTTCGGTGACCGCGCTGCGCTGGCGCCGCTACACCCAAAGCTGCGGCCGCTGGAAGCGTCAGGTTGAGGTCCCGTTCCGGGACCTGGTCGTGGAGCAACTTTACTTTGTACCACTGGAGGGCAGTGTGCTTTTAGAAATGCGAGCAGTTCCCAGGTGACAGACGCGGCAGGCGCAGATGGTAACCATGTTTTCAGTAACAATTTATCTGAATGCCAGGAGCTGATCAGAGAGCCCTGAGGTGGTGATTTTTGCTTTTGATACTGGGAACCTGGGCTCTCTTTACATCGTACTAGAATTATCTGAATTAATTGGATCCTATGACAACACTGCCTTTTCCCTTCCCTTCCCTAAACTATGTCCCTGGCCAGCCACTTGGGAAAGCTGCCTTATCGCCGTCCCCACTCTACCATTTAATATGCTCCCTTTCTTAGGGGCCCCCCAAAGCGGAACGAGGCCCTTCACTCATGCCTAGGTGAGAAGAGCTGCTTTCAGGGGACAGACGGGACGGAGTTCACCATTCTGGGGTCAAGGGGAGAATCAAACCTCTCATCAGCTCTTCGGATGGGAGTGACTGATTACTTTCACTCAGGCAGTTACTAGCGAACCAGCTCCTTGCTTCTTAACTATAAAATGAATGGCCTTGTGGAGTTATTCTCCTCCATGATGAGTTCATAGTGTGATGTCCACCTAAGCCATA